GTCACTTAACCTGTCGGAGCCTCTTTCCTTATGTGTAAAATAAGGAGAGTAGTAGACTAGCTGATCTCTAGTTTCTCTTCTGGCTTTAAATACTATGGTATTTCTTTTTACAGGCAAATTAATCCCTATTAGTAAAGGACTACTTTCTCCAGTGATCTAATACTATGTACACAAATCCTGAAGGGATTTAACAAATTATTTTTAAGGAGTAGCTTGAGGTATATAGAGATCACAAGATCATATAGTTAATAATTCTCAGGCAGGATTTTAACCCAGGACTTCTTAAACTAAATGCCCAGTTCTCTATTCATTAGGCCACACTGCCTCTAAGACATCAGGGATAGGAGTTGGAATTCATAGGTTTCTCTACTTAGCATCTGCTGCTGTTGTTCAGTTGTGTCCCACTCTTTGTGACCCCATTTAGGGTTTTCTTGGCAAAGATACTGGAGTGGTTTGCCATTACCTTCTCCAGCTCATTTTACAGATGAGGAAACTGAGGCAAGCAGTTACGTGACTTGTCCAGGGTCACACAGCTGGTGTGGCCAGATTTGAACCCACAAACATGTGTCTAGTGACTCTAGGACTGCACTCTATCCACTGCCCCTAACTGCTCTGCCAGGTTTCAACTCTGCTGAACAAGATGCCTCTCCCAGAATAAACTCATGGCTTCTAATCTCATCTCAATGCTGCTAACTCAAGCCTTTATTGAGACCTCAAACTCCTCTCCCCTCCAACTGGAGAGCAGGAGGGTGGAACACCAAACTCCTCCTAATGCCTCCATAAAGGTATAGGAAAAGGAGTAGAAAATGTACTTTCAGTTCACTCCACTTTACATCTGCTGCTCTGGTTTTATAACTCCAGGAAACAAGCTGGTGCCCCCACTCTTTACCTATCTTCCTTTTGTGTATTTTCTCCACCATCTCTTCCCTCAATTGGATAGTAAGCTCCTTGAGGACAGGGGCTATCTTTTTATTAATTCTCTCCCCAGCGCTTAGCACAGTGACTGGCACATAGTAGGCACTTAATACATATTTACTGGATTACGCTGGCTTAGAAAACCCTCAGATGAAATATCACCTGTACCGACATACCAATATATGTACCTTCTCTAAAATTCAGTCTTAAAGAGCTGAATGGAACATTAAGTGGTTGGGGTAACAGAGGTGGGACTTGAACTCGAGTCTTCTTGGCAGATAGGCTTGTTTTACCACCCCAGGCTGCCTTCACAATATACAACATAAAAAGTAGAATTATGGGGGGCGGAGCCAAGATGGCAGAAGGAAAGCAGTAACTGTCTTGAGCTCTCTCCCAAAGCCCTCCAAATACCTATAAAAAAATGGCTCTAAACAAATTCTAAAGCAGTAGAACCCACACAAAGACAAAGTGAAACAAATTTCCAGCCAAAGACAGCCTGGATGGCTGATTGGAAAGGTATATCACGTCGGGCAGGGAGAGGAGCGCAGTTTGTTGTGGGCAAGCAGGCCGCAGCAACCCTGGAGCAGGCCTCAGAGGACTGAATTGTGGGCAGCTGTGGCAGTTTCCAGACTTCTCAACCCCTGAATGCCAAAGACAACTTAGAAGGTCAGTGGGAAAAGTCTGTGTCTGCGGTGAGAGAGGAGCTAGGTCTCAGCCGCAAGTCTCGAGTGCAGCCCGGGGTCACTGCTTTTTCCTGAGCTTCAGACCCACAGACTGAGGGGGAATCAAGTGGCTGATCAGAGGGGCATTGCATGGATTTCTTTGCCAGTGCTGAGGCAGGAATCTCTTGCTTTACCTGTGCTTGAATCTGGGTCACAGTTCTGAGGGGCGGTCCTGGGGCTAGGAGGAACACTGGTGTGGTGAAGCTTGTTGTGGCTGTGGAGAGGAAACACCTCGCCCCTTATCATAGCACCTTGGAAGAACTGAAAATTTTCAGGTCCCTAGAAGTACCTCTGAAAACAGCTCTACAAACCCCCAAAGCTTGGGACAGTACACTCCTCACAATGGAAGCAGACTTTTACCTTAACAAAGAGTTTAAAACTCAAGTAATTGGCCGGGATCATGAGTAAGCAGCACAAAAAGAGTCAGACTATATTATCTTACTTTGGTGACAAAGAAAATCAAAACATACAATCAGAAGAAGACAACAAAGCCAAAGCTCCTACATCCAAAGCCTCCAAGAAAAATATGAATCAGTCCCAGGCCATGGAAGAGCTCAAAAGGGATTTTGAGAAGCAAGTGAGAGAAGTAGAGGAAAAACTGAGAGTGATGCAAGAAAATCATGAAAAACAAGTTAACAGCTTGCTAAAGGAGACCCAAAAAAAATACTGAAGAAAATAACACCTTAAAAAATAGCCTAACCCAAATGGCAAAAGAGGTCCCAAAAGCCAATGAGGAGAAGAATGCCCTAAAAAGCAAAATTGGCCAAATGGAAAAGGAAGTCCAAAAGATTACTGAAGAAAATACTTCCTTAAAAATTAGAATAGAGCAATTGAAAGCTAGTGACTTTATGAGAAATCCAGACCCTGTAAAACAAATCCAAAAGAATGAAAAATTAGAAAGCAATGTGAAATATCTCATGGCAAAAATAACTGACCTGGAAAACAGATCCAGGACAGAAAATTTAAAAATTACTGGACTAAGAGCCTAGACATCATCTTTCAAGAAATTATCAAGGAAAACTGTCCTGATATTTTAGAACCACAGGGCAAAATAGAAATGGAAAGAATCCACCGATCTCCTCCTGAAAGAGATCCCCAAAGGAAAACTCCTAGGAATATTGTAGCCAAATTCCGGAGTTCCCAGGTCAAGGAGAAAATATTACAAGCAGCCAGAAAGAAACAATTCAAGTATTGTGGAAACACAATCAGGACAACACAAGATTTAGCTGCTTCTACATTACGGGACCACAAGGCATGGAATATAATATTCCGGAGAGCAAAGGAGATAGGATTACAACCAAGAATCACCTACCCAGCAAAACTGAGTATAATCTTGCAGGGGAAAAAATTGTCATTCAGTGAAATAGAGGACTTTCAAGCATTCTTGATGAAAAGACCAGAGTTGAATAGAAAATTTGATTTTCAAATACAAGACTCAAATGAAACATGAAGAGGTAAACAGGAAAGAGAAAATCATAGGAGACTTATTAAGGTTGAACTGTTTACATTCCTGCATGGAGAGATGATATTTGTAACTCAAGAGACCTTTGTCAGTATTAGGGTAGATGGAGGGGAAAAATTATATGTATGTATATATAGATATAGATAGAGGGCACAGGGTAAGTTGAAAATGAAGGGGTCATATCTGGAGAATAAAATTAAGGGGTGAGAGAGGAATATACTAGGAGAAGGAGAAAAGGAGATGTAGAATGGAGTAAATTATCCCACAAAAAAAAAAAAAAGAAAAGAAAAGGCTCTTACAGTGGGGGGGGAAATGGGGGAAGGTGAGATGGAATGAGTGAATTTTATTCTCATAGGATCTGACTTAAAGAGGGAATAACATACACACTCAATTGGGTGTGGAAATCTGTCCTACCCTACAGGAAAATAGGGGAGAAGGGGACAAGAGAGTAGAGGGATGATAGAGAGGAGGGCAGATTGGGAAAGGGGGTAATGAGAAGCAAATACTTCTGAGAAGGAACAGGGTCAAAAGAAAAAATAGAATAAATGGGGGGGCAGGATAGGATTAAGGGAAATAAAGTTAGTTTTTCACAGCATGTCTACTATGGAAGCATTTTGCATAACTGCACACGTATAACCTATATTGAGTTGCTTGCCTTATCAATGAGGGTGGGTGGGGAGGGAGCAAGGGAGAAAATTTGGAACCCAAAGTTTTAAAAACACGTTTAAAAAAAATGTTTTCACATGCAACTGGGAAATAAGAAATACAGGAAATGGGGTACAGAAATCCATCCGGCCCTACAGGAAAATTGAAGGGGAAGGAAATAAGAGAAAAGGGGAAGGAAATAAGGGAAGAGAGGGAGAGATAGAAGGGAAGGTAGATTAGGGGAGAGGGTATTTAGAATGCATGCCATCTTGGGGTGGGGGAAGGGGCAAGATGGGGTGAAAATTTGGAACTCAAAATCTTGTGGAAGTAAATGTTGAAAACAAAAAAAAAATAAAAATTACAATAAAAAAAGTATAGTTAGAAATGAGGCAAAAGTTTTGGGTTAGTGTTATTAGTATATAGACTCTATAGTTGAGCAATTCACAAGTACGCTTAATTTGAAAACTGAGAACTTGAGTTTGAATGCTATCTATTCCAATTTACCTGAAAATGTGACGTCATTTGGTCTCTCTGGCCTTTAATTCCTCATCGGCAAAATGAGAGGGTTGGCCTAGCCGACCCCTAAAGTGCTGACTAGCTCTGAATCTAGGACCACACGTATGATCTACTCTGAGCTCAGCCTATTTCTAGGTGGCGGATATCTCCACGGGTGATACCACAGAAAAGGTCTTTGCCTTTCCTATAACCCAACAGTGCTGGCTGGAAGAGAAAGGCCCGACATACAGTGGAAAGGGAGGCGACAACCACCGCAACAATCAATGGGCGCTGGGGAAGGGTGCGGCAGAAAAACAACCAGGCCTTGTGGTTCGGAGAGGGCAGGTCAGTCCTCGAAGTAACACAATTGGTCTGAACGTGGATCAGAGCATTTGGGTGATTTGCCATCAGCCTAGAACGCTGCGTGAGGCCGCATGCGCAGTGCAACTCTAGCAAGTCCACTACTTCCTCCTTTCTTCCAGGGCAACTTCCTTCGCCCTCCCTGCATCTTCCGCCCTGGGAGGAGCCAACTCGGGCCCCACCTCTCTGCTGACGGGCTTCTGCAGCCTCCTGCGGAGATGCCTGACCTAAATCAGCGGCAGCGTATTTCATTTGCGGGTTATTTCGTCGGGTACAGACCCAACCATCGCCTTAAAAAGAGAAGGCTGAGATTCCCTGAGGGGCCTCTGCCTCAGAGTGGCTGAGGAGCTGGATATTTTGGAGCCTCTTGTCAGGCAGCATTGTGGGCAACCTCCATGAGGGAAGCCCCAGGTCCTCAGGTGACAGCGGAGGGAGACGTGGACCATCAGAGAGTAAGGCAAGGGAGGCTGCGGCTTCGGCTGCCGAAACTGGAGAATTGAGCGGGAGGAGGAATCCGAGCACCGCCGAGAGGCTCCCTAAAGTCTAGCCACGGCCTCACTATGTGAGTGACGTTATGAGCTGACCCGCCCCTGCACCCTCTCCAGGAGTGCTGGAGCCCTCTCCCCCGCCGCCCTCCTCTAACTCGCCGTCTGCTCTCTTTGCTCTGCAGGTCGAAAGTTTCCTTTAAGATCACACTGACCTCGGACCCGCGGCTGCCGTACAAAGTGTGAGTGACGTAGCAGTCAGGCTGGGGGCGGCGCGACCCTTCTATTCCTCCTTCTCTCTCTCTCTCTCTCTCTCTATATCCCCATCCCTTTCCCCTCCCCCCTAAACTGGTAATGGTAGGGATTCTACCAATGGGGCGGAGTTTGGGGTGGGGTGTATTCTGTGACATTCTCCTTCCCCCTCCCCCATGTATATCCGGATGCAGATGGTGGAGATCACAGGCTTAGGTCTCGGAGGGAATATCTCAGAATATAGCTAGTCCAGCTCCCCTCATTGTACAGGAAAGAAAATGAAGCTCTAGGAAGGTTGTCTTGCTTACCGACAACCATTTATTAACCACCTACTTTGTGTTAGGCACTGGGAATACACTGACAGAAATGAAATGGCCATTAAGACTCGAGGGAGAGGGGGATTGCTCCATGAGCTAGCACTCTTTCCATTGATACTAAGAAGACACCTCAGCCCCTCCAAATAACTTCCTCAAGGAGGTTGTAAAGATAGGTTTCAGATTGTTATTTAGAGAATGATTTTTGCCGTGACTCTGAAACATGTTAGCTGTGTTGCCATAGGCAAGTCACTTGACCTCTCAGACCAATGAGTTGCTCATTTGCGTTGATGGTGAGAGTTTCCACTGAAACTTTCCAATGAAATTCACACCACTGAAACCACAGCTCTGAACCATATGCTAGGTTCTGGATATACAAAGATTGTTGTTTATCCTTCCTTTTCGAAGAGGACCAATGACATCAGGAGGGTGATGTCTTGACTTGCAAGTGAATTAGTTTTAAGTGAGGGAGGGCTGTGCAAAGTCATCAGCCTCAGTCTCTCCTCTAGAGTCACTGGAGTCCAGTGGCAAGACATAGATGAGGACCACTGGCAGTAGCCAGATATACAGAGACAAAAGAATTAAAAGCCATTGATGTCCTCAAGGCCTTTACATTGTTCCCACACATTCACCATCCCAGTCTCTCCAGGATACTCATCTTCAGCCTTATCTTTGACTCTTTTTTGTCCTTTACCTCACAAAGCTGGTTGGGTCTTGAGCTCTGTTTCTTTTACCTCAGAAATACAGATCAAATCTTGATTTTCCTCACCATTGACACAGCGCCCGAGGGTAATCCATCATTTCTTGTCTGGACTGTTAGAACAGCCTTCTAATTGGTCTCTCTACTTCCAGTCAGCTTTTTCCTGTCCCAGTGGAATGTTAACTCCTTCAGATCATAGACTACTTTTTATTTTTTTATATGTCCTAAGCATCTATCACAGTGCCTTGCTCATAGTAAGTACTTAGTAATGCTTATTAAATTGAATTTTTCCATCTTCTATATTGCTGCCTGAGTAGTCTTCATAATGAACTACTATGTCTTGACATTTCTGTTCCCAGTTGCCTGAAATAAAGCAATTCCTCTTCCCCCTCAAGCAAAACGTTCAAGGAGCCTCCATGGTCTGAGTCTGGCCTACCTAACTAGTCTATTTCATGCTACTGCCTTTCCCTTAATCCACATTCCAGACAAATTAGAAGACTTTCCACCTATTTTTCTTGTCCCATCGTATCCTATTTCCCATCCCTGCCAGTCTTCATCTATTGAAGTCACTTCTTTATGTCAAGGCCAAAATGATGTTCTCCATGAAATTGTCTCTAAGATTCCAGATGAAAGAGATCTTTCCATCTTTAAGTTTCTCATGCACTTTACCTAGCTGTCCTTTGTTCCTATCAAATTCTGCCTTGTTTTATAGATATTTGTTCTGCGTGGAATATTTGTTCTCCATTAAACTACAAGCTCTTTGAGGTGAGGGATTGCGTTATTTTTCATCTTTATATTCCCCTCTCCTAGTATAGTATCTATTATATGGTAGGTGCTTAATAAATATTTGTTGAATTTAAAGGTCCTCTTCCCTAAAGTGAAGCAAAGGATATTTTTAAGCTATACTTCATTCACCTAAGATATTTTGTTTTGTTGGGCCATATAGTATGGTTTCAAGGGAAAAACACTTAGTTTTTAATATCAGAAAACCCAGATTTTAGTATGTTCATTGACTAACTGTGAAACCTTGAACAAATCACAAACTTTCTGAGCTTCAGTTTGCTAGTTACATATATTTCATTGAAAGCAGAGTCTTTATCTTTGTAATCTTCTTTATAATTACCGGGCCTAGCTTAGTAGTAGATACTTAACAAATGTCAGGTTGAATTATGTAAAGACATACTGGAAATTCTTGAAGATTTACCCAGATTCTTATTATGTAGGAGTGATTTATCAGTATATTGTGGGGTTCCAAAATGTAGCTTCCTGAAATCATCCATTTGTTATATTGCATTTTATTAAAATATGGTACTATTGATTGCATTAAACACATGTTATATGTCAGATTTGAAAATGATGCTTTTAATTAATTATCAGTAGAGATGGAATTCTATCAATCCTATATGTTCTCATCTGGTCCACTTGTATTTTTGAGCTGCCTGACAGAAGATAAGAATAGAGTTATTCATTATCAAACAAAGCAAAGAAATTGGTTTTAGTGGCATTGTTTGTACTTTGTTCTACTCTCACTAAGTTTGGGGAGCCTCAATGCTTTTGTATTATGTTCAGGTACTGTGTTTCTATATATAAATTAAGTTGAAATTTTGTATACCAACAAATAGGAAATACAACTTCTGGTTTTTCAGAATGAGATGCCTTAATCTCTTAAGGCCAGAAGTAATGTTGGTTTAGACTATAAACTTACTTGTAAAATTATTTTTGTTTATTATAATTTGTTCCCTCTTTCTTCTCTCTTATAATTCATATACTTTCTGCCATTACCTCCTTCTTCACCCTGACTCAAATGTTAATGTGGCCTTACTCCTTACTAAGCCTAACCCCTGTACCTGCTTAGGTGATCCTCTTCCTTCCTGTCTCCCCTAATTGCCCTTTCTGTCATTCCCACTTGATGTCACTTATTTTCTTTCTTTCTTTTTTAAATGTGTCATGCAAAACATTTCCATATTAGCTACATTGGAAGAAAAAAAGCAAGAAAAATAAAGGGAAAAAGTATGCTTCAGTCTGCACTCAGAGTTTATTGGTTTCCTGTCTCTGGAAGTAGATAGTATTTTTCTTCATGAGTCCTTCAGAGTTGTCTTGGATAATTATACATGCATATATACATACATACACATATGAACATGTGTATATTATATACACTTTATATATATTTTTCATATTAAACCTATTTTCATGTTAGTCACATTGTAAAAAAGAATTAGAACCAATGGGAGAAACCATAAGAAAGAAGAAACAGAGAGAGAGAGCAAATAATATGCTTCCATCTGCATTCAGACTGCATAGTTCTTTCTCAGGATGTGGATAGCATTTTCCATCATGAGTCTTCTGGAGTTGTTGAATCATTATATTGATCAGAGAAGCTAATCTTTCTCAGTTGATCGTTGTTATAATATTGCTGTTAACCATGTACAAAGATTTCTTACTTCTGCTCACTTCACTCTGCATCAGTTCATATAATTCTTCCCAGATTTTTCAGACCATTCCCCTCCTCATTTCTTATAGCACAATAGTATTCCATCACAATCATATACCGTAACTTGTTCAGCCATTCCCTAATTGATGGGCATCCCCTCAATTTCCAATTCTTTGCCATCACAAAAAAGAGCTGCTATAATTTTTTTTTTTTTTTGGTATATATAAGTCCTTTGCCTCATCTCTTTGGGGTACAGACCTAGTAGTGGTTGGGTCAATGTATGTGCACAGTTTTGTAGCCCTTTGGACATAATTCAAATTTTTTGGGGGGGGGTCAATTGGCGTGAAGTGACTTACTCAGAGTCACACAGCTAGTGTCAAGTGTTTGGTCTGAGGCTGGATTTGAACTCATGTCCTCCTGACTTCAGGGTCAGTGCTTTATCCACTGTGCCACCTAGCTGCCCCTCAAAATTTTTATCCAGAATGGTGAGAACAGTTCACAATCTCAACAACCATGCATCTGTACCTGTTTTTCCATATCCCCTATAACATTTGCCTCTTTTTTTTTTTTGTCATGTTAGCCTATCTGATAGGTGGTCCCTCAGAGTTGTTTTAATTTGCATTTCTCTAATTATTAGTGATTTAGAGCATTTTTCATATGACTATTGATAACTTTGATTTTTTTTTTCTGAAAACTGCCTGTTCATATCCTTTGATTATTTGTCATTTGGAGAATGGTTGTCATTTTTATAAATTTGGTTCAGTTCTCTACGTAGTTGAGAAATGAGGCCTTTATCAGAAAAACTTGCTGACTTTTTTTTTCCAGTTAACTGCTTTCCTTCTAATTTGACAGCATTAGTTTTGTTTGTGCAATAGCTTTTAAATTTCATGTAATCAAAATTATCTATTTCCCCCACACCCCATGATTTCTCTGTCTTGTTGGTCATAAACTCTTATCCATAGATCTGTAAAATTTTCTATGCTCTTCTAATTTGTTTATGTCACCCCTTGTATCTAAATCATGTACCCATTTTGACCTTATCTTGGTAAATATTTTAAGATGTTGACCTATGCCTAGTTTCTGCAAGACTGCTGTCCAGTTTTCCCAGCAGTTTTTGTTGAATAGGGAGTTCTTGACCCAAAAGCTTGGATCTTTGGGTTTATCAAACACTAGATTATTGTTTGGGTGTACCTAATCTGTGCTACTGATCAGTAACACTAATTCTTATCCAGTAGCAGATTGTTTTGATGATTACTGCTTTATAATATAATTTGGCACTGCTAGGCTGCCTTGCTTCACTATATTTTTCTTTGATTGCATTGATATTCTTGACCTTTTGTTCTTCCAGATGAATTTTGTTTTTATTTTTTCTAGCTCTATAAAGTAATTCTTTGGTAGTTTGAGTGGTGTGGCACTGAATAAGTAAATTAATTTGGGTAGAATTGCCATTTTCATTATATTGGCTTAGTCTGTTCATGAGCAATTAATACTTCTCTATGTGTTTAGATCTGTCTTTATGCAAAAATGTGTAGTTATATGTAA